CAGCTGCACAAGTGGCACCACCACAACCTCAGCAGCTTCCACAAGGCCAGGGGCCAGCTGCTGCCCCTGCCTCGGGGCAATCCCAAGGCTCACACAATCATCAGGGAAGAGCCCTCCAGGATCCTCCAGTCCCACCCTCACCCAGCACCACCACGCTCACCCCCAATCCCTGTCCCCAAGGGACACATCCAGACACCTCTGGAACACTCCCAGACACAGGGACTCCACCACCTCCCTGGAACACTTATTGCAAGGCCTGACCACTCCTGCAGGGAAAAATTGGTTTTAATATCTGAGGTGAACATCCCCTGTTAGAACTTCAGGCCATTTCCTGTCATCCTTTCCCTTGGGACATGGCAGAACAGACCGACCCCCTGAGTTTTCTCTGGAGCCTGGCAGACCCTCTGCAGCACTGACCCCCTTTATCAGCTCCCACTTTCTTCTTTCCATGTCCTTCCCAGCCAAGTTCACCTGCCCTCAGGGTGAGCCAAGTTTTCAAGCCCTGTCATGGGAGTGTTCAGCGACAAATACACGAAATTCTGCTGCAGCCTCAGCATCCTCCCCCCTCAGGGCTGCTTCCCAAACCAAAACACGTGGCACCATCTACTCGAGAAGGAGGAATTTTATTGTTTCCATCAGGCAGGTTTCCCTGGGAATGACCAGGACAGTTCTCTAGACACTCTCTCTCATGATCTTAGTGAGTTTCTGGATCTTGGACCTTGTTGACATGTCCACGTACTTCTCCCCAATGTTGACAATCATCCCGCCGAGGATCGAAGGGTCAGTCTAAACAAGGAACAGTGAACAGAAAGTCTGTGAGCAAAGGTTTCTTAGCCTAGGATACAACTCTGACACCAGCAAAGGAAAGAATAAAGCTCTTCAAAGAGCCTTTTTTGAGAGAACTTTGTGGTCATTGCATTCCCAAATTAGGATTTTAGAAATTAAAGCATTGTCACATCTACAAGAAAGCACAGAACTGTGTAACAGCAACGGGATTCAGTGAAATCTTTAAGATCATTTTTTAAGCCCTTAATGATGAAATTGATTTATAAATCCAAACTCCAGACCTTGGTCTCCAGCTTCAAGACCTCTCCCTTAGCCAGGAACCCATTCAGAGCACTTTTTAGTTCAGTCAGGTTGGCCTCATCCAAGGGCTGAAAAATAGGAGCGGAAGAGAAGGAAAATAAGGGACTTGAAAATATTCAAATGATAGAACAAGGACCCCAATATCCTACTCAGATCCTTTGGAAGACAGACACGAGCACCAGGAAGGCAGATTAAGCAGCATTCTGGAACGGGGACAACCAAAGGGCAGCACAGGAACAACAACCACCTTGGTGCCCTCCTTATTTCAGGAGCCAAGAACAGGGGCAGCTCTATGTGCAGACCAGGCTGAGTTTTCATCACCCCCTGGCTTCACACACAGGAAGGAAAAACATGACCTGAGGAGCTGAAATGGGAGGAACAGCTTTCATTTTTGACAAGTCTCTGCTGGGGATCCAAACCCTCCCTGCAGAAAGACGTTCAGCTTGGCAGGGCTGAGACGTTTCCTCGCTGCTCACACAGCAAGGCCTTCAATTCCAGAGAGCAGGGGGAGCGTGCAGAGGTTTGCCTGTTCTCCCAGTGCCTGCTGCCAGCCCACCTGTGCCGTGGTGACCGTGCACACCACCTCTCCTCGCACCGCGCTCATGATCTTGGCGAAGGCGGACACGATGCCCGGGGTGTGGCGCAGCCGCCCGTTCTCAGCCAGCAGGTCTGGAAAACACCAAAGCACCCAGGGCTCAGAGCACCCCCCGGGCACACCCGGGCAGCCAAGAGCCAAGGGAATGGGTGGCACGGCTTGGATGTTCTCCTGGAGCCCGGGGGTCACTCACTCATCAGGTTGACGGTGATGGGGGACATCTTCTCTCTCGCCAAGGCGTCGCTCACGGCTTTTTGTTTCACCGTGCCCTTGGTGTGAGGGTTCATCACCACACTGGACAGCTTGGGGTCCTTCAGCAGGGTCTGAGGGGAGACACAGCTATGGGACAAAGGCCAGGAGTTTTCCAGGCATTCCAAGGCCCACCTGGACCAGCCAGAGCAGGAAACACGGGTATTCCTGGAGTGAGAACAAAGAGCTGTGGAGCTGAGGGGAAATGGAAGGGCAGCTCTTCCTACAGAATCATGAAATGGTTTGGGTTGGGAGGGACCTTAAAGATTAAACGGACCTAGTTCCACTCCCTGCCAAGGGCAGGGACACCTTCCACCAGCCCAGGTTGCTCCAAGCCCCGTCCAACCTGGCCTTGGACACTTCCAGGGATCCAGGGGCAGCCACAGCTTCTCTGGGCAACCTGGGCCAGGGCCAGGAATTCCTTCCCAATATCCCACTGAAACACTGGGGCACAAGGCAGGCAGCACATGTGCCAGGGGACTGGGATTCTCAGAGGCTGCAGGAGCCAAGCCCACCTCCCTCCTGAGGAGCAGGGAAACCCCCCCCTGCTCCCACACCCGGGGAGCCCTTGGAACACCTTACCCACACCCGGGACAGCTCCTTCTCCACCTGCTCCAGCTTCTTCTGCTTGCTGGCTGCAGAGTAGAGGGCGGTGGCATAGCGCCCTTCCAGCCCGTACACCTGGATGGGGGGCTGTGGGGAGAGCAAGGGGTGCTGAGAGAGGGCACCTGGGGGGCACAGACCCCCCTGCCCTGCGGCTTCACCAGCCTGGAGACCCCCCAAACCTGCCACTTTGACCAGCCTGGAGACCCCCCCAACTCTTCACATTGACCAGCTTGGAGACCCCTCATCTGCCACTGCTTTGACCAGCCTGGAGACCCTCTCTACTCCTCGCCTTGTCCAGCCTGGAGAACCCCCCATCTCCTCACACAGACCATCCTGGAAACCTCCCCAACTCCTCACCTAGACCAGCTTGGAGACCCCTCACCCTCTCATACAAACCAGCTCAGAAACCCCCCCAGCTCCTCACCTTGACCAGCCTGGAGACCCCTTCACCTCTTCACATAGACCATCCTGGAAACCTCCCCGACTCCTCACCCGGATCATCTTGGAGACCCCTCACCCTCTCATACTACTGAGCCTGGAAACCCCCCCAACTCTTCACCTTGACCAGCCTGGAGACCCCCCCAAGCTCCTCACCTTGACCACGTTGGACACTCCCCCTGCCACCTGTTACTTTGACCAGCCTAGAAACCCTCTCGACTCCTCACTCTGACCAGCCTGGAGAACAGCCCCCCCACTTGCCCTCCTTCATCTTCACCATCCTGGACACCCCCCTTGACCCGCTCACGATCTCCCCTCTAGTCCCTCACCTCGATCAGCGTGAGGACTCCCCCTACCCCCTCACGACCCGTCCTGCCCCCTCACCTTGCCCACCTCGGACCTCCACTGCCCCCTCACGCCCCCGCCGCCCCTCACCTTCACCAGTTTGGACACCGGCCTCGCCGCCGTCGTGCTCAGCTGCCGCACCTGGAGGGGGAAAAGGGGGATAGCGGCGGGGTCAGCGCGGCCCTCAGGGCCTGGGGCGAGGTTGGAGACCCCCGTGCGGGGGTGAAGGGCAGGGATGCCTCTGTTGCCCCCGGGCCCCCCCGTTTCACCTTCAGGGCCGCCGCCGCCGCCATGTTGCCCCGCCGCCGCTCAGGGTCACCGCGCACGGCGCAGGCGCGGAAAGGCCCCGCCCCGTGATGGCGCTGCTGCCGCGGGGCACGCTGGGAGCTGTAGTTCCTCGGGGCGGGGCCTGCGCCTGTCACTGCCCTCGGTGTCACCGCGGTGTCACCACCAGTGTCCCTGTGCCACCCGTGTCACTGTGCCCTCAGTGTC